TTCTTTTTTCTTTTTTTTTTTTTTTTTTTTTTTTAAAGTTTATTTTTTTAATTTATTTATTTTTTCACTTTTTTCAGTTTTTCTCTTCAGACTCAAAAGGACGCTTTTACCCCTCATTTTGACGGACAAATTGACAGAGTTGGACGGCAGGACCTAATTGCAACTTATTGCAACTTAAAGGACTAAATTGCCACAAAATTTAGTTCACGGACCCAACTGCAACTGGGGCCATAGCTCAAGGACGTCTACAGTAATTAACCCTAATTTTTATTATTAAATTACTTTGATGCCCTATTGAAGGGTTTTTAAGTCTAATGGTCCCTGAACTTTAACACGATTCGCATTTTGGTCCTTAAATTTCCAAAATCGTTCCCGTGGTCCTTCAACTTCACTTTCATTAGGACAAATGGTTCAACCTTCAATTTTGCTATCTTTTTTGTTAAATGTAGGGACACAATGGTATTTTTGTATTATTTTTAATTTATGCACCCATTTTCTTCTTCTTCTCCCCTAAACTGTACATTATTCCTCCATATAACCCAAGCCAACCCAAATCTTTCTCAAACTCCACCATGTCCAAAATTTCCAGAAGTCACAAATAATAACTCAATAAAATAAAAATTATAAAAAGCATATATAGTGTGTGGGTGATGAAAGATGAGTGATTGAAAAGGAAAAGAGGAATTTGGGGTGTGTGGGTGATGATGGAGAAGGATTGATTGAAGAGAGAGAGGGGACGGAGGAGAGAGAAGGTGTTGAAGAGAGAGGAGAAAATGGGTGCGAAAAATATTTGTAAAATTTTAAATTGAAACTTAAATTGGTTTCCATATGTTAGTATTTTATTGGATGGGGATACTAATGTGGGATGCTGACTATGGAATCCCTGTGACATGGAAGTTTTTCTCCCAAGAGTGAAGCAATTTCCAATTTTGACCCTTAATAGTACACCATGTGCCATGCACATGCTCAAATTTAACAGAAAAAGTTAATAAAATTGACGCATGACCATTTGTCCTAACGAAACGAAAGTTGAAGGACTAAGGGAACAATTTTGAAAATTGAATGACCAAAATACGAATCGGGTCAAAGTTTAGGGACCATTGAACCTAAAAACCCCCTATTGAATGTTTTGGGTTTTTTTATGAGGTTTTGGGGTTGGGATTGTTGTAAGAAATTTATGGCAGTTTTGTAATTTATAGGAAGTTCGAAGCCTCTTTGTTATGCTGTAAATGAGCTTTGGTTGTGTTTTTAAAGTCCATTTCATGTATGGTTTTTTTTATAATAATTTGTAGTAGGATTGGGTATCAACAAAATACCAGAAATCTTCATTTTAGTCCATTAGATGTGTGGGAATGTCCTAAGTTATTAGTGTTAATTTATTAATATATAAACTAATTTTAGCAATTGTTGTTTATCCCCAAATCTGCTGGCCCTTGGAAATAGAGATATTTAATTATACACCCATTTTTAGCACTAGTGATAAAGATAAACCCTACACCATTTAATTTCTCTAAACAAACCAAAAAATGACAGCTGACCCTATTGAATTTAATTTTTATTATTAAATTACTTTGATGCCCTATTGAAGGGTTTTTAAGTCTAATGGTCCCTGAACTTTAACACGATTTGCATTTTGGTCCCTAAATTTCCAAAATCATTCCCGTGGTCCTTCAAATTCACTTTCGTTAGGACAAATGGTTCAACCTTCAATTTTGCTATCTTTTTTGTTAAATGTAGGGACACAATGGTATTTTTGTATTATTTTTAATTTATGCACCCATTTTCTTCTTCTTCTCCCCTAAAACTGTACATTGTTCCTCCATATAACCCAAGCCAACCCAAATCTTTCTCAAACTCCACCATGTCCAAAATTTCCAGAAGTCACAAATAATAACTCAATAAAATAAAAATTATAAAAAGCATATATAGTGTGTCGGTGATGAACAAAATTGACGCATGACCATTTGTCCTAACGAAACGAAAGTTGAAGGACTAAGGGAACAATTTGGAAAATTGAAGGACCAAAATACGAATCGGGTCAAAGTTTAGGGACCATTGAACCTAAAAACCCCCTATTAAATGTTTTAGGTTTTTTTTTATGAGGTTTTGGGGTTGAGATTGTTCTAAGAATTTGATGGCAGTTTTGTAATTTATAGGAAGTTCGAAGCCTCTTTGTTATGCTGTAAATGAGCTTTGGTTGTTTTTTTAAGTCCATTTCATGTATGATTTTTTTTTAAATAATTTAGGCCCCTATATTGGGTAATACATTGCGTCCATTTCATGTGAATTTCCCTTGGAAATAAGTCAAGAGATTATATTAATTATGAGTGTGGCACTATTAACAGTAAAAACTCTAATATAGTAAAATAGAGAAGAAGAAAAAAAACTTGCACACCAAGCAAGCAAGGACGGATGGGACAAAACGAAATCGCTTGACCTTGTGACCGTATGAAGTCCTCCATGTAAGCTTTGATCTTTTGACCCCTCGGTAGGTGTTGCTCGCCAACTGTTTGTTGAAATAACCCAAAGAGTAGACGTTGAATTTGAGACTGAGTTATAATTATTATTTTTTATCATAGTTGGCGGCACATGGACATGAAAATTTACTAAAGAGCGAGAGAGTTCCACTGTTATAAGGAATTTGGAGTAATGAATCACTGAATTTTTTTCCCAAAGTTTGGGAAGGAAAAGCTCAACATTTGTTGTTGGTTAGCTTAGCTTCCAAGATTTTAATATTGTCTAACTGTTTTTTGTCAGGCCTCTACACTGTCATATTCAAAGAACAGATTATTCTATTGCAGTCTATTCATTATAGCTTCATTGATCTGTGGTGCATCCGTTATAAAGGATTATAAAGAAGTATCGTCTAAAAGAATTTGGGAACTTTTACATGTTGACATCTTAGGGTAAAAATCCTGGAGCCGTTACCGAAGCCAAGAAACTGACCAATAATTAAATAATTATGAATTAAGTGGGGAATTGGCCATCATGAGTTCTTTTCCATGCCTAAAGTATAATAAGGCCTTCTCCAACCCATGAGGGGCTAAACCCAAATTTTCCCCATTCAAAAAGTAACTATTTGGGTTTTGTCTGGACTCAAATCGTTTTTTCTCCCAACCCTCCGAATTGAAATTTTAAGTCTGCAACTTTATTAAATTGTTTAAGAATGGTTTAAGTCTAATTTTTTTTTAATGGAAAACTTTTCTTTATTTAATCTTTTTAAATAACGTCATAATTCAATTTTTTGAACAATTTGACCTAAAAAAAAATTGAAATTCCATAAATTTAATTTTTTTTTCCAAAAGTAAACACACAAGATAATTGAACACACAAAAGGAGAATTGAAACAATTGTCGACCTCATTCACCATCTCCAAAGCTCATCCAAAGTTGATTGATCAAATCATGTTGGAGACTCTGATGCACATGTGGAGATCGAGCTCTATTATGACGAATTATGTAATCAGAGAGAGTCTGTCTATCTTGGTGGTACTCGTATGTAATGCTTGGCTCCAGCTCATATTGTCTTGCTCTGGCCCTCCTGGATCGTTGTGGACATGAGATTGCGATGGCGATCTTCCCTGTCACGGTTAATTGAGAAATAGAAAAAATGTTTTTGGTAGATTAATTGAGAAATGGGTGAGTATTTATAGAGTTTAGAGTGAGTTTTTGGGTTGGATCTGATTTGGATTAATTTAAAATATTATTTTGACTGTTGGATTTAAATTTCAGCCGTTGAATTTTTTTTTTTTAATGTTAAAATAGCTTAGATTTAATCTAGATCGTTGATTTAAAGTTACTATTAAAATTAGTATTTTTTTAAAAGGAAATTGGAATTGAACGGTCACTTTAAGCTGTAATAAAGCTAGCAGCGTGGGCCAGTCTTTTTTTAAAAGTTACTATTAGATTTTTTTTTAAATTAAAAAAAAAGATATTTGAATTGCAACCGCCACTTGACCAGGAGCAGACACGTGGACTGGGCCAGCAGACAAAGCCACCAACGCTGGCCCCATCGCAGGCCCCATTGTCTTTTCTAATGCACATAGGTTGTGCCATATGTTGGTGGGCTCCACTGAATAGTTTTGGGTCCAGGCAATACTTAGACTGGTATTCGGGTAAATTTTTAGCCCCTTCACTTTCTTGGGTTAGGAGAGGTTTTAAGGCAATAATTAGGATATTTTAGGTTTAGCTCTTGGGTTGGAGGACTTACATATTTCTCTAGTACAAACGCAAATAAATATAAAACAAATTGAAGTAGACAGACAAACGCATTAGTTATGAAGCCTGTACACAACCAGCTAGAACTGAAAATTTTGAAAATGTTATTAACTAGCTAGATAGACAAACAATTTTTTTGGACAAATATTAACAAGTAACAGAAGTCTGAAAGGAGAGAAAAAAGGGGTAGGGTGGGAGATGGAGCAAGGACAAGGAGACCTCGAAAGGCTTTTGAAATGGGCAGCAGAGATTGGAATATCAGACTCAACTTGTTGCGGGGATTCGTGTTTGGGTCACTCTCTCTCCGTCTCCTACTTTCCTAGCGCTGGCGGGTATGCAATTACTAGATTAATATCCACAATCGCTAGCCCTCTGTAAATTAAGCAACTTCTGCTCACAACTCACTAAAATGCTGCAGGAGAGGTTTGGGGGCTGCCCGTGATCTTAGAGAAGGAGAGTTACTTCTCAAAGTTCCAAAATCAGTTTTGATGACAAAGGAAAGTCTGTTATTGAAAGATGAAAAACTCTCCCTTTCTGTCAATGATTATGCCCATCACTCTCTGTCCCCTACCCAGGTTTTTCTTACTTGTTCTTTTGCTGTATTGATAACCCAATTGTCTGTTTTTGATAAAATTAAATTCTTTTATCATTTCATGCTATGCAGATATTGGCTGTTTGTTTACTCTATGAAATGGGTAAAGGGAAGATTTCATGGTGGCACCCTTACCTTATGAATTTACCGCGCAGTTATGACATTTTAGCAACTTTTGGTGAATTTGAGAAGCAAGCTCTGCAAGTTCAGTTACATTCTGCTCACTTAAGTTTTTCTTTTTCTTGATCAGGATTTAGAATTTGTGTTGAAAATTTGCTTTTGCAATATCTGATATGGTTTCTAGGTGGATGATGCTATCTGGGCTGCTGAGAAGGCCACATTGAAGGCTGAATATGAGTGGAAAGAAGCTAATGCGCTCATGAAACAACTTAAGCTCAAGCCTCAACTTCTGACCTTTAAAGCATGGCTTTGGGCTTCTGCAACTGTGAGTATACTTTTTCCCGGGTTTGAGGACTTATATTTCTCTGATTGTTTAATCCACATTGTTGATCACTTCTATTACTTGTTTTATGGAGTAACGATTGGACCTTCTGTTCTTTTTAATTAATATACCAATGCTTCAAATCGTTAAATTGTTTATCTCCTTTAAAGATATCCTCAAGGACATTGCATATACCATGGGATGCAGCTGGGTGCTTATGTCCTGTGGGAGACTTATTTAATTACTCTGCACCTGGAGAAGAGCCATCTCGTTGTGAAAGTATGGAGCATACAATGCATGACTTAGTGAATGAGGATACTTCGGGTATGGCAGATGTGGAGCAGCTTGTTTCTGATTCACGAAGATTAACTGATGGAGGGTTTGAGAAGGATGTAGATGCATATTGCTTCTATGCTAAGAAAAGTTACAAAAAAGGAGAGCAGGTAATATGGGCTTCTTTGTCTCCTATTCAAGATACAGTTTATTGTTGCATTACAGCTTTCTGGTACTCATTCTAAATTTCATTTTTCTACTTTCATGGGTGACATGTAACTACACTGAAATGATTTACATCTCTCTTAATATTCACCAGTAGCTGAGAATGGTTAAGTGATTTACATCCCTTACATTCTGGCCCTTCAATATGCAAATTTTCCTTTAGTTATGGGATGTAAAGTTGACATAGTTTCACAGTGCGTGTATATTTTGTGGTCATTTATTAGGTTAGTCCATCTTTGTTTCTTCAAGGTGCCCCAAAACATAGATTAGATATTTAGTCTATCTTTAAAAATTAACTTATTCTTGAATGAAATTTGAAAAAGACATCAATGAACTGACTCTTGATTACCATAAAAATTTCTCTTTGGGTAAGAAAGCACAATTTTGCCAGAGTTAGGCCATCATGTTTGGTCTTTGGCTTCTGAAGAGGATGTTCCTTTTCTAACAAAGCTAGTGCCATTGCTTAGGATTTTGGGATTCTCAAAGGGTAAGAAAAGGGACTTTATTTTGGGGCTAAAAAGAGGCAAAGGAAATTCTAAAGTTGGTTTTTACCAGTGGCCCTACAAATAGTGATGTGAAACAAGTTATGTTATTTGCGATTTAGGTAGTCTAACATGTGGGTGGATGGACGAATTAGAGTTTAAGGAGTGTTTAGTGGTTAGAAAAGGGGGAAAAGGAAAACTTAAAGAAGAAGAGCATTCAAAAGCTTGGAGGATGTAATGGTGCTTTTGGCGAGTTGTTGAAAAGAGAATCAGTTGTGGATGCTTTGATTTTGATGAAAGTTTTCAAGAATTTCCAAGCATATGTTGCAGTAGTAGTCTGGCTGCAGGTGCTATAGAATATCTCTGGTGATACAATTTGGGATAGTAGTGCTCTCTGGCATTAGCTAGGTATCTGAGCTGTCTCTCTGATATCATGTAATGCCACTCAGTTCACTCTGTTGCTAGCAGTAGCTTGTAGTTCTCTTATGTAACGTGTAAGGAATTACGTGGACTCTGTAGGGCAAGGTTCATTCTCTTATGGTTTCGTAGATATCTGGTCTGTTTTGATTCCACAATCACTAGAAAGTAAATGGCTAAGATTGATGCATCATAATCTCATAGGTTCATAAATAATTCCATGATACTTTCAGAGTGCAGAAACTTTTTAGTTCGAGAAACTGAGCTTTAAATATTAGGATGCTAGAAGTTTCTTGAGAATAATATGATTATGCATTTAGCAAAAACAAAAACTGTAAAGTGCTTCTAAAGAAATTAATTGTTTTATCATAACTACTGTAAATGGTTAAATGGCTTCAGTTAGCAGCCACTTACTGTGTTGCTTTGTCCATTGAAATCTTAAATTTCTTTGTTCTGTAAAAAGTGAGGAAAAGTTAGTTTAGGTTTCGAGAACTAAATTAGATTTCAAACATGCAATGTATGGTTACCACCTTATGAAACACTGCATAGTCTGAGATGCATTGCACTCTGCCCACGATATGAAACACGGTGTACTGTATAAATGTAATCCATGGATTATCACTGGTGGAACAAATATGAAATGTCACTTTTCTAAGAAAGATAAAAATGTTTTAAGGCTGTATCATTTCAGTTCTGTTTGATACTCTTACTACCAATTTCAATAAATTGTTATCAACTATTCACTTGAAAGTTATTACCACTGTCTTGATATAGGACAACAGGTAGCCATTTGATTGCATTGGGTTATCTTAGGTCTAGAGTTGGATTTTTGAGATTGGGACGAGAGGTTTGGATTTAAATGATACTTTATTGTCTGCAGGTCCTTTTAAGCTATGGAACGTATACAAATCTGGAGCTTCTTGAGCACTATGGCTTTCTCTTAAATGAAAATCCAAATGACAAAGTTTTTATCCCCTTGGAACCTGAAATATATTCGTCCTGTTCGTGGCCAAAGGAGTCATTATTCATCCATCAGAATGGGAAGCCATCTTTTGCGCTACTGTCTACTTTGCGATTATGGGCAACCCCACAGAACCAGCGGAGGTCTGTTGGACACCTTGTTTATTCAGGACTCCAGCTCTCAATTCAAAATGAGATGTTTATCTTGAGATGGATTTCAAAGAAGTGCACTACCATTTTGAAGAATCTGCCAACATCTTTTGAAGATGATAATTTGTTATTAAGTGCCATTGACAAAATCCAAAATCTTGATGCCCCTTTGGAGCTCAACAATGTGTCATCCACTTGTAGAGATGAGATTTGTGCTTTTAAAGCTAATGTTCTTCAGAAGGGAGAAAGAAGTAGTATGGAGTCAAAGGAGAGGTGGAGATTAGCTGTGGAGTGGAGGCTTAGTTATAAGAAAATCCTGGTCGATTGCATTGCTTATTGTGATGAAATAGTAAGTTCTCTATTTCATCAAAATAACTCATCCCAGAAATGAAATAAGTCCAGTTTCTTTATATTGTTATTTTTTGTTGTATGTGGCTGGATAGGAGAAGATATTGACATGAGGGATGTTGATAAAATCTTGGGTGTTAGTTTGTTCCTATATATTGAGTCAAGGGGTAGAGGTTTGAGAGAAACTTAGGCAGTGATTGATCAATGTCCAAAAGTCACCCCATAGTTGATCCGATTCTTGGTTTTGAGAGTATTCGATTATTTCGTACCCAAAAAACAAAAAGTATTCGATTACAAATATTCATGTGGGGCATTAATTTCTCAACCTTATACTCACTCACCAGCCAAACCTTCGTCTGCCTCTCTCTCTTCTTCTACCATTGGATTCTTGATTTCTTTTATTCTTCCAAAACCTATATATTGATTCCGTCTTGTAAACTTCATGGAGGTGCCTCTACCATTTTATAAATTTCTTTATGCATGATTTTGTATTACAGTTTGAGAAACCCACTGCAACCACGGGCGTTAGCAGTTCCATTTTTGTGTCAGTTTGGCCAACTTATATGGGTTTATGCATCGACTGATTCTCTTTAAAATTGCCTCCAAGGAGTGTGTCCAAGATAACGTCACTTCTCACAAGACTCGTAGTTCATTTTTTCAACGGTCAGGTTAACTCTTGATTTTCTTTCAATATAGGTACAGATTTATACTTGATTTTTCTTGTTGTGTACTTAACTTGGCTCTTTTTTGTATTTTTTGTTCAAAGCTCCTACGCACATGGAGCAAAGCACTTGGAACTGGCTTAGCGGGTGGAGGCCTGGTGGTGGTGGCCTGTCGTGAGAGAGAGAGAGAGTGAGGGTCAGGAAAAGAAAAACAAACATAACAGAAGGTTTAAAATCAGATTTAATGCTATACAGACTCAAGCTACTTAGAGGAAAACTACTTACCAAGAAAAGATAAAAAATAGCAAGCCATTAAAAGATGGATCAGAAACACCTGGCTTGGTGTCTCTGTTTAATACAGAGATATAAGTCGCTCAGTTTGTTCAGTTTCGATCATTTGGGGAAATAATCATCACTTCCATCTATGGTTTTTTCCAATTGCAAAAATAAAAAAACATTCAAGACTCAAAATTTGAAAAATCAAACTGAAAAAAGATTTGAAATTTCAAAAGACAAAGAAACAAAAGGAAGAACAGAGAATGTAGATTTCGGTGCTTCTCAAGGAGCAATAAGTAAACAACAAAATTCAAAATTCAAAAGCAAGTCAGTGAGATCTGATATAAAGAATGAAGATGGATCAGAAACACCTGGCTTGGTGTCTCTGTGTAATACAGAGATATAAGTCGCTCAGTTTGTTCAGTTTCGATCATTTGGGGAAATAATCATCACTTCCATCTTTTCTTTCTATGGTTTTTTTCCAATTTCAAAAATAAAAATCATTCAAAACACAACAACACCAAATATCAAAACCCAAACTGAAGAAAGATATGAAATTTCAAAAGACAAAGAAACAAAAAGAAGAATAGATAACAATGAGTTGTTGGGATTTGGGAAAGATCAGAGTTCTGGCTTGGAAATTAAAAATAGCGCAAGTTTGAATCAGCTTCGATCATATGGGGAAAGTAGCATCACTTCAATCCCAAATCCCTAAAATTCAACACAAACACAAACTTAAAACGAAGCAATAGTACAAAATCGAAAAATAAAGACGTAAATTTTGTCCGAATCTGCGAGAGAACCAATCATAGGAAGGCCCTCAATGATTCGCAGAAACCGAATAGCTCTGGCGTCGGCTCATACGCAGCGCCCATTCTTTTTCAGAGAGCGATGGTAATCAGTTTAATCGACGCCGAAATTCAAATCCCTAACTACTAACACTATCTATGCGAAAACACAAAGTGAAGAGTGTTGGAAGGAGGCGATTGAATTTATAGGCTCTCATGTTCCACTTGGAAACCCTAATTTCATTAGGCTTTTTGTTCCCGCGCACGCACGCCACCCTTTTCTTTTCTGGCCCATGTCCCATATATAAGGCCCAGAATTTTATATGGCGTTAGGTCCTGACCACCGTGTTTTGGACCATAGGTCACGGGCCGACATACAATATATATATATTTTGGTCGTGGAAATTCAAAAATTAAGCTAGGTGATTAAAAAACACAAAGAAAATAAGAGCTTGTTTGGGAATGATTTTGGAGGTGTTTCTCTTAAGAATCGCTTAAAATCACAGGCGATTATATAGAAAAAAACGTTTTCTCCCCACAAGTGATTCCGGCCCTTCTAGAATCACTTCAAAACATGCCCTAAGAAAATTAGGGTAGGATTAAGCTAGGTAATTGAAGTGAGCTATTGGGTTAGGCCAAGTGGTGAGGTTGGATGGGGAAATATGTGTGTGTGTGTTAGGCTAGGTCAAGAGTTCAATCTTTTCATTGTAACAAAAGCACTATTGAAAGAAAGTAGCAAATTAGTTAAAATAGGTTCAACAAAATAAAATACTTTTATATTGTCAAAACAATTGCTTTAATTTTCCTTAAACATAGTTGTAACCAAACTAGAGTATGAAGTAGACTAATGAGCAAGGGGAAATAGGGAGGGAAGAAGTGTGGAAGGAAATGCAGGCAGCTCTGCATTTCTCCCTCTGACAAACAAGCCTTTCGTTGGGTCAATTATTTGCAAGGATAAGTCTTCTGTTTTTCAACCGTTTCCTATGGTCTCGTGGATTTTATCGTTGTATAGGATATAAAGCAATGCATCTGATTAACCCAATTCAACACCAATCAATCTATGTCAAGTGGAGGGCTTGGTTCTCTCATAGCAACTCAGTTTGTAAATGTTGTTTTCCAACAGATAGGTAAGGCAAAGAGTGGAGATTAGTAAATATTAAGGAACTAATTTCTTGACGAACTTTCTCCCAATAATCATTGTCATTTTCTACAAACTAGAGTAACGTTTAGCCCATATTGAAAAACGTGGTCGTGCTAATAATTTAAACGATCTTGAGTCTCTTCACCTATTGTCAATTGGTTTTGAGTTGAATGCTTACATTTTAATATGGTATCATCGGAGTAGGTTATCCACGTTTTGTGCCCAATGACCATATGTATTCCCATGTCACCCTACATGAACTCCCTACCCACGGTTTTTTTAGATCGTGAGTTTGAATCCCCTTATTACATCCTTCTAACATAAGTTGGAATTATGGAGTTGGAATACAGACCAACTCGTCGCACATCTTATTTACTTAAGTTTAGGATTAGTGTACAAACCAATAAAATTTCTCAGCTATTATGAAGATGCCATCTTTCCCTCTTTTTCCATATTCTTACTTACGCCAACTAATGCAAGAAGACAGAAAGAAGGAAAGAATGATACCATTAGTTTCGTGAGAGAGAAACGGCTACTTTAAAACCAGAATATCTTCTGCTAGAGATCAGATTCTTTTCTTTTTTTCCTTCCCTCACTTGGTGAATCTCTCTTCTTATACTTTTCTTTTCGACACATTTCATGACAAAAAAAGCAAAGATTTCTAAGCGCTTGACGAAACCAAAAGCAAGCTGCAATCATCAACAAGTCAGCCGCATCCACCATACGTAATGAATTCCTTAGCCTATAAATGCAGAAACATAAGGTGACCAAACCTCAAACAACTTCATCTCTTTAACACTTGAAGCCTTTGTCTCTTTAAAAACAATAGTTTATTCAATATGGCTTCAGGAGCAGCCATCAAACGATCCGAGTCCATAGCTGAGAGCATGCCGGAAGCCCTGAGGCAGAGCCGGTACCATATGAAGAGGTGCTTTGCTAAGTACATTGAGAAAGGAAAAAGGATAATGAAGCTTCCCCATTTGATGAGTGAAATGGAGACAGTCATAGATGACAAGGTTGAAAGAAACCAAGTCTTGGAGGGAGTGCTTGGCTATATTTTGTGTTCAACTCAGGTTTCTAATTATACCTTCTTTCTTTTGGGGCCTAATTAGAATGTGAAATTATAAATTATTGGTTTGCTGATATATTGATATGTTTGCTTAATATTTATCCACAGGAAGCTGTTGTTATTCCTCCATTTGTTGTCTTTGCCATAAGACCAAATCCAGGGTATTGGGAATTTGTTAAAGTCAGTTCTGAGGATCTCTCAGTTGAGTCCATCACTGTCAGAGACTACTTGAAATTCAAAGAAACTTTATATGATGAGAAATGGTACATCTATTTTTAATTATTTCAGCTTTTTGTATCTCAATAAAGGTGATAAAGTACATACATAGGTTTTTCTTACCCCCCAAAAAAAAAAAAAAAAGAGGAGACAGCATCAAAACATTTACGAGGCAAGCTATTGAAACATGTGAAGTTGAAATCTCATCCTGTTGCTCAGGACTGGGTGATGTTAACACTTTCACATTGCAGGTCAAATGATGAAAATGCATTGGAGGTGGATTTTCGAGCAATTGACTTCTCAACTCCTCACTTAACTCTATCTTCCTCTATTGGAAATGGACTCAATTTTGTTTCCAAGTTCACCAGTTCAAAGCTAGCTGGGAGATTGGAGAATGCACAGCCCCTTGTGGATTATTTACTTTCACTAAATCATGAAGGAGAAGTATGGGAATGCCAGGAATTTAGTTCTGTGAAACATAAAAATTAAAATTTCATTCTAATTACAAGGTCTGAAATGTATTTATGTGATTTTGAATTCACAGAATCTTATTCTAAATGAGAACCTCAACACTGCCTCAAAGCTTCAGACGGCACTGATTGTAACAGAAGTGTACCTCTCAGCGCTTCCCAAAGACATGCCGTACCACAATTTCGAACTAAGGTGACTCTACTTCTCATCTTCTATCTTTTGGTGGATCATGTAACTTGAAATCTGAAACCAAAGTCATTCATTTACAGGTTCAAGGAGTGGGGCTTTGAGAAGGGTTGGGGAGATACCGCAGAAAGAACTAAGGAGACAATGAAACTACTTTCAGAAGTACTACAAGCTCCAGACCCGTTGAACTTGGAAAGGTTTTTCAGCAGACTTCCAACAATATTCAATGTTGTAATATTCTCTCCTCATGGCTACTTTGGCCAAGCAGATGTTCTTGGCTTGCCAGACACCGGTGGGCAGGTATAAATTTAAATACTGTATCAGATAAGCTAAGTCTCTTTGGGTTGGCATTAGTTACTAAGCTGTAAGCTTTTCAATCCTGCTATTAAAAACAGGTAGTTTATATTCTGGATCAAGTGCAAGCTCTGGAAGAGGAACTGCTCCTCAGAATTAAGCAACAAGGGCTTACTGTGAAGCCTCAAATTCTTGTGGTGAGTTTCATATACAACAATGGAAAAATTCCTCATGAAGGCCATTTGGTCTAGTTACTAGTTAGTATTATCTAACTACATTCTTGGCTTGGATAGGTAACAAGACTCATACCTGAAGCAAAGGGAACTAAGTGCAACCAGGAGTTGGAACCGATCAATGGCACTAAGTACTCTAACATTCTTAGGGTGCCATTTAGGACAGAAAAGGGGATCCTACGGCGCTGGGTTTCTCGTTTTGACATCTATCCCTACCTTGAATTGTTTGCACAGGCATGTTTCCCTCAACAATTTAATCCATGCTCTTACAGTGTTCACTAATTGAATTTTTTTTTTTAATGTGCTTTCTGTTCTTAATCTCCATCTCTTTCAAATTACTAGGATGCTTCTGCAAAAGTCCTCGACATTATGGAAGGAAAGCCAGATCTTATTATTGGAAACTATAGTGATGGGAATTTAGTGGCATCTCTCATGGCTAATAAACTAGGGATTACTCAGGTCAGTATTCATTCAGCTTATAGATACACATAACACATTTTCTCCCACTTCATATCTACTAACCTAGCACATCAAAACCAGGCAACTATTGCTCATGCCTTGGAGAAGACCAAATATGAAGATTCAGACATCAAGTGGAAGGAATTAGATCCTAAGTATCACTTCTCATGCCAATTTCTTGCTGACACAATTTCAATGAATGCCACAGATTTTGTCATAGCAAGCACATACCAGGAAATTGCAGGAAGGTTAGAGAAAACAACTATTATACCTATATATGACAGGGCTTACCAAATGAATGCATTTATAGTTTATAATGTACTTGGATGTTGTTTGCAGCAAAGACAGACCAGGACAATACGAAAGCCATACTGCATTTACACTGCCAGGGCTCTGTAGAGTTGTTTCAGGCATCAATGTATTTGATCCCAAATTTAACATTGCTGCACCGGGGGCCGATCAGTCTGTCTATTTCCCCTATACAGAGAAGCAGAAACGGCTCACATCATTTCATCCTGCCATCGAAGAACTGCTGTATAGTAAAGAGGATAACAGTGAACATATGTAAGTTCTGGAATAACAAATCATTCTTTTTAGACTTCAAATGAAGATCACTAGTAATCTAACATCTACCTAAACCATTTTTGGAACAGAGGATTTCTAGCAGACAGGAAGAAACCTATCATCTTCTCAATGGCAAGGCTTGACACTGTTAAAAACATTACTGGTTTGGTTGAGTGGTATGGTAAAAACAAGAGGCTGAGAAATTTGGTTAACCTTGCTGTAGTTGGGGGGTTCTTTGACCCTTCAAAATCAAAAGATAGAGAAGAAATTGCAGAAATAAAAAAGATGCATACACTGATAGAAAAGTACCAGCTTAGGGGCCAGATCAGATGGATAGCTGCACAGACTGATAGGAACCGAAATGGAGAACTCTACCGTTGTATTGCTGACACAAGGGGAGCTTTTGTGCAACCTGCCCTCTATGAAGCCTTTGGTCTTACTGTCATAGAGGCAATGAACTGTGGACTGCCCACCTTTGCAACCAACCAAGGAGGCCCAGCTGAAATCATTGTGGATGGGATCTCCGGTTTCCATATTGATCCCAACAATGGTGATGAAGCAAGCAACAAAATTGCTGATTTCTTTGAGAAGTCCAAGACTGATGCTACATACTGGGACAGGTTTTCGAAAGCAGGTTTGCAGCGAATATACGAATGGTAAGTACACATGAATCCCTACTTGTTTGGTTGAGTTCATTCATATTGAAATGTGCAGTATCAGAAAACCAACATCTTCTCCTATGGTTTTTAAAACAAGTTATCTTAATTTTGTAGCTACACTTGGAAGATATATGCAAACAAGGTGTTGAACATGGGGAGCACTTATACTTTCTGGAGGCAGTTGAACAAAGAGCAGAAACAAGCTAAACAAAGATACATCCAGATGTTCTTTAATCTCCAGTATCGGAACTTGGTATGTTATTATGCTTATATAATACAATGCATCTCATATTTATTCTCATTTTATTATGTTCAAGATTTAGAGACTTCTTTCCATTGGCATTTTTGCAGGTGAAGAATGTGCCTATCCCAAGTGATGAGGCTGAACAACCAGTGCCAAAGCCAACTGCCAAATCACAGCCCACACCAAGGCATGTTAATCTAAAAGCAAAGTAGAGGAAGACTTTGAACATGATCACATAATATAATTTTGCATATGTTAATATTACCTCTTGGGGCACTAATAACATATATTGTTCATAATTGATGTGCAGCACAAGACGCTCACAGTCTCGATTGCAAAGGTAAAGAGTAAGATCCCTACAATTGTCTTGTTTTCTATCTTTCTTTCCACTGAAGCCACATAACAATTCAAAAAAATTCTACCATATATACTTTCAGGATGTTTGGAGCCTAAATTAAGGTCAAACAAGGGAGCCTGGTTGAGATTGCAATTTGAGCTACCCAGCAGCGTTTCCAACAACATTCCATATTATACTACAAAGAAGAATAATTGTTTGTGTGATCAATGAAGATGAAGATTTGTTTGTATGTAATACCAAAATTACGGTTTGTTTGGTTTTCAATTTAATATTTGCAAGGGTGGCTCCAT